GAGATTGTAATGTCAACTTTATAACATTTGAATTGTTTAACATGCTGACTAAATATATAATTGTGTGAATTCAAGGAAAAACTCACTGCACCAAGCAATTTCAGACAAATTTGATTATTTTAAAGTTTCTTGTAATTTATTCTCTGCAATTTTATCTGTTCTTATATCATCAATTAGACCTTGGAGACCAAAGTTATTGTCATCTTTCACAAAATAAACCTGCACAACTATTTTTTGCTATTTTACCTTTGAAGACTTTGAATAAAACCTGTTGTCAATCACATAGTAGGTTTATATTTATCCAAAAATTAACAGATATTCTGGAAAAATAAAAAACAATCAGGGAGTGTGGATCTCAACTGTGTAGCTCACCCCCCTAATATTGTGACATACACCTAATTAATGTCCCTGCATTCATTTTGTCTATATTATTGGATTCCTTGACCATGAAAACGTATCATTTGGAATTATATTTACATCAATATTACTTCAATAGTAATTCGCAAAATGCTACATCTTCATAATGGTGGTTATTTAATCAGCCCCCAAAATACTACTAGTGAAAATCATTCCCGAAATTGATGTTTCCATGACAACTGAATCCACATCTCTACCTGCTCTACCTACCGGCATGCATCAAAAGCCACCTCGCCTGAAAGTTCAGAATCTATTCTTACATTTTTGAAATAAAAATTAAAAAAATACATTCCCAAAAATGTTACTATGGAAACCAGATTCAGATCTCTGCCAAAATATAATCGATTGCTCCCGAGTTCATGGTACCCCTCCTGATAATTTCATGAGAATCCATCAATATCCTTTTGAGTTATAAATGAAGAATCATTCCCGTTTCTATGGTAACCTTTCGTATATCGTATACCAGAATGGATTCATGCTTAAATCAAAGGCAACCCTTCCTAGGAGAATCCATCCTTAAGTTTTGGGGTTATCCTGCCAACAGACAAACCAACACTACCGAAAACAAAACCCCTTGGATGAGGTAACAATGCCGGTACATATAAATGTGCAACGTGTTTTTTATAACTACATGTACCTACATTATGGCGGTAAAAACATATCAGTATTCTCTAGTACGGTATTATTAGAAACATTGATTTTCGTTACTCGTAAATTGGTATATTTCATTAAAGACTATATTTGTACGACGAACTTTGCCTCATTTATCGAACTCCATGGCGCATCGAAACAAATGAAGGACACAAGTCACGTCTTTGCCGGCACGTATATTATAAAGCCATGACAAAGAGGCTATTCCTATCTGCACTTTCCTATTGGAAAGTAAGACGGGTGGGTAAATTAAATTAAATCATTGAGTGCACATTAGACTGGTGCACATGCGACTGATATACTAAATGATCATAACCTTGACCGTGGACCAACTGCTCACATTATTAACAGACGACCATGAGAGTATAATGTCAACTCAACAACCTTTTAAATTGTTATAACGTAAACGTGCTGACTAAATATATAATTGTGTGAGTGAATGTAGTATTCACCAAACAATTTTGCTATTTCAGACTTTGCAATTTTGTTATTTGAAAGTTTCTTGAAATATTGGATCGTTTAGTTTTGAACGTCAAAGTTGTTGTCACCTGTCACACAATATTTTTTATATTTCTTCCAAAATTTTTAATAAAATCTGTTGTCAATTGGATAGTGGGTCTATTTGATTTTATATTAACAGAAAGTATGTGCAACATATACAGTACCTACATTTTGGCGGTAAAAACAAAAACATATCAGTATTCTCTAGTATTGTTAGAACCACAGACCATAGAAAGTCTCTAAGGTCTAATGTTAGAGCACAATTATAATTACTCGTAAACTGGCATGTTTCATTACAGACTAGATATGTCCATATACGGCAAACTTGGCTTCATTCATTAGATTCCATGGTGCATCAAAACAAATAAAGCACACAAGTCACATTCTGCCTTCATTCCTATCAACAGTCCTGTGCGAATTTCGATCTGAGGAAATATACTGTGCTTCTTTTTCGGAGTAAAATACCTAATTATATCATTCTTTCACGTACGCTATTTATATCTCTACCATTCAGTACCTTCGTATGGTACTTATATAGTGATAAATTAATTATTATAAATAAAGTCCTGGAGTTTATATACGCCATGCGTGTACGAGTAGCGAAAATTATGTTATTCATTTCCATTGTTCTAATAAAATTGACGCTATTTCAAGGTTGTAAAATTAAACTATCAACTGTTGAATATTCATGACCTAACTCGGAACATCATGTACAGTATTACAAAAACCAATGTTCGACACCCAATTCTAGGTACTCGGATGTTTGTTTGATCCCAGCTATGATCGTTGCTTCTTGGGCACGCGTCAGTTCCAATGGCTGCGGGGGAAATGCGCCTGCCGCTGATAGCTCAATATCTTGTATACACGTGATCAAATTTCTTTCTTGATGTTCCATAAAAAAAAGAAAGAAAAAATGTTGACATGTACGGGAACGTGTACGCGTATTATCATCAGTTTGTGTGTTTTGTGTTCTCGCAACGTTTTTAAAAAATAAACTCGGGCCAGAAACACATTTTTTCTTATTACCTTTGTACTACTAATGCTCCAGGAATTTTTCAATTATTAGTTGTGCACGTGAATCTTTCTAAATCAATCTATCACCACGATCACATTATATATTACATATACGGTACAATTGATCAACAGACAATATTTGAAGTTACTATGAATTGAATTGAAAACAAACATAATTCATGAAGGGGTATAGGAACATCGACTATAAACTGTAAAACATGTCTGTTTAGCTAGCACATTATTTTAGCTAATTTAGCTAATCCGCAATTTCGCTAAATTAAGAATATAGTATATTCTCACGGCAATATTATTGTCACTAAATTAAGATTCAGTTAATTCATGCATTGAGTCAAATTCGCTAAAGTGGTATGTAGTTATTTCAAAGTGTTTTACAGTATACTGGTATGCCATATTCAAACAGCCTGTGTGATAACACCTCGTAGGGGGCGTCACAAATTACAGTCGCATTGAATGACGTCTAAACAAATTACGTAAATTGAAGGCCTGGGTCAGAAATGTAATGCTACTATAATTATATTTTTAATGTATCAGTTACATTACCAAGATATTTTGCTTCCCCCATGGGAAATCATCAACTACCACTTCGACAAGATATAACGTATTACCTATAACAACTCACTGCCTTACATAAAGTCCATGAAACTTATCAGTGAGGTATTTATCCCCAAAAGACCATCCATTACTGATCAAAGTGAAGTCAATAAGAATACGAGTGTCAAAACACTGTCGCGAATTAATAAATAATGGTAATACATATAATATTGTGTTATCTATTTTTTTTTCAGTGATAATAATATCAATAACACAACATATCAGTCGGCATTCTTGAACTTACGCAAGTGACATGCACGTATTTCCTAAGCTCCTACTTTCATATCCGTTTGCACGCAACTCGATATTTTACGCAAAGTGAAATAAACCCGGCTTTCGCGGTACGGCTTTCGCCATTTACACAGTCCCGTGATATTTTATTTTATTGAAAAAAACACCAACAAATAAACAAGAAACTATATGCAAGTCTACATTGTTTACTATTTTATTTACAAACTGCTCTTTCTTATATAAGTTAAAGGGGCGTGGTCGTCGTGCCGCGTCGTGTTCGGTATGGGACTCATAGCGACGTACTTACAACACGTGTAAAATACTTTTTTTTTGTTTAGTACAAAAAATTCGAACACGCGCTGTGCGACGACCATCACTCTTTAAGTTGGTTTGCTACCATTAAAACAAATGATTGAATTTCCTTGCCCTTTAAGCTATGATTTAGTTCATGCTATTGTTCTGAAATCCGAGATAAAAATATATGGTTACCAAACAACTTTTCGCACAAAAGACAGGTCAAAGATCTATGAAAAGGTCATTTTTGAGCCATTTACGATTGATTCCCATGGTAAAAAGTTTTCACCATATCATATAAATTACTTTTGGATACACATGGTGACAAAATGGCTTGTAGTTATATGAAGGGTACTCATGGTTATCAATTTCTGATTACTAATCATTTTCTGGAAATAATGTCTTTGAATATTTGTAGACAGGTTTTCTCTAAACAAATGTTTCGAACTGGGAAACAACCTGGCGATGTGTGTCAAAGTCAATAATTATCTAAAACATTCGAACACCAACAACCTATAAAAATGATACTCAACACATATTCTCTTAGACCCCCTTTTAGGTTTTTACAAGGTCGTCTATGAGGAGTTCAAATTGCAGTATGATACCAATACAAATGCGCGCGCACCCTTTTCAAGGTACACGTATATAGCTCCAGCTTACTGTGCACACGGAGAAATGGACGGATACGAATCCGTGCGGCGGCACGATAAGGATGAGTAACTTTTACTGCGATCATAGTGCATATACTAGTACGTCACAGCGCTAGCAGACAACTTTGTTACACGACGCAGGGGGCCCAGTGCAGGACTGACAGCGAGTTCACGCATACCGGAAATATGGAATTGTCAATGCACTCCTATCTGTGGTATTATTAACATTAACCACATACAATATATACATACTGTATGTGTGGTACACATTGGTGCTTAATTTCTTCCGCGAGTTTTTGAATACCTTTAGATTCCCTGGGCATTGTATCGCTTGTGTGTCCTTGGCCAGTGCCGTAGAGGTGAACGCACTGCAGCTATACATTGACCAAGGATTACCTCCAATATGCCCTGTACTAGTTATGTCCTGTTAACGGCCAGCGGCGGAGTATTGTCAATTACCCAAGTGTACTGTTTCACAAGGTCACATTAACCGGCACGTAATCGCGATCACGACAACTCAGGGAGAATTAAATGTGAACCCGTCTGTTTGCTGTTTGGGATTTAAACTAGTCAAGTCACGGGCAATGTGTCCAGGAGTATAATCAAATGAAATAAAATTAAAACACTTACCTCGATGTCAAAGTTCGTAAATTTCACGATGGTTGGGCCACCTCTATAGGTTTCGTCATAATGAACCTTCCATATGTATCAGGAATCTAATGAAGTTCTCACGAAAAAAATATTGAAGTTAGAACTATCTGCTGGTGTTCAACATAATGTTAAAAGTCAGCAAAATTGTCACCGGGTTTATCATTAGCTGTCTATTTCATTTGGCCCATAATGCACGCGTGTATTGGGGAGACCAGTACATGTGTCTCACTGAAGAGGGTATTCAGACCATAGCGTGGGCGAAACTATTCTAAACACCCATATTAACGTCGGCTTATAACAGAGGGACTGAAACAATGTATCACAGCGGCTGTTAATAGTTTGTATGAATGTTTGTTACACGAAAAACGATGAAGCAATCTTTTTTTAAGAATACAGTGGAAATGGTTTTACCATGGATACAAATAGATATTTTCAGTTAGAGTTATGAAGGACGATGTGACCGTGGGCATGTTTTTGCATATTATTATTGACTGTATGTCTATTGTACGGGTCTATGAGTATATTGTATAAACTCTATTTTGTCTAGCACATTTGTGTATATTAATCTATATTCAGTCATCTATCTTCTCGCCAATATGTGCCCTATATATTTACGTAATAACCCGTCACATATGTAACAACAAACAGGCTGTAGTGACAGTCGGTTCAGAGCTACTCCATCGATTGATTAATATGCTTCAATATGTTCACCGATCCTGAATAAATATTTTGTTTTATAATTCTGTTGCATTGCGAAAGGGGTATGCTTGTTTTATAACTGTTCCCTTCATCTTAAAAAATTCAAACTGAAACGAGAGGTTTCCATTGGCCAATTGAAACGTTTTTAAATGACGTAGATGCGTTGTGGCTTGTTGATTAGTTAGTTCACCTTCCATGGTTGGTTGGATTCAACTGCCCTTGCCATTTTTAAAGATGAGGGAATGGGTTTGTTGTGCCGATAGTAGATGAAACAACAGCCATAACTGATACTATAGAAAGTTGGAAGACAATTGTAAATGTTTATTCCATACTGTATGTCAATTTAAAGGGCGGTAGTCGTCGCGCCACGTATGCGCGAGATGTATGGGTCTCATATAAACAAAGATGGCGACTTTGACTGTTGTGCAGATCACCGAGTACAAATTGTGACGTTACGAAGCTTTAATTAGATATTTTTTAGGTGATTGGAAGGTATCGAAGGAGTCGCCGGTGGTAATTAGTGAAAGTCGCACCCAGGTAAAACCTCATACTTGTGATTTCCATTTGAAGAGCGTATTGGATTGTGGCAAAATCAATGTTTATCAACACAAATGTCGCACATGCGCAGCGCGACGACTGCCGCGCTTTAATATATCGTCCTACAACCACAAAAAACTTCTGTGACGTAACGATAAACTTGAAAATACGTCGTTCACAACATCGTTTTCAACCTGTAATTACCGCCAATAAAGATATTTGATGCATTCCTATCCATATATCAACACTTCGTCGATAAAGAGCACGACTTGAAACGAGTTTTATAGAAAAAAACAGCAAGGTTTTCGTCTCTTTTGTCTACACACAAGAGAGGCAGCTGTTGGAGGAGATTGTTTATGGAGTGGTTTGGTCAATAATATATCGTGTTAGTTTCCGTCGATTTCGTGTATCAATTGGAAATGAATGGAAGGGCATGAAATGAGTCAACATACAGCTGTGCTCGGGTGAAATTTAATCTTTGTTAGACAAACATATAGTTCAAATTTTATAAGTCGAGGTGGGTAGATGACCTCTAATTTTTAATTAATTCTGCCTTCGTGGTGAAGTAATATTATTCAGTGATTTCACAACGACATGGCTTCCTATAAGAGGCCGAAAGGTGGAGCACAGTCCCTCTATCATATAGATAGTTAGAGCATACATCCATGGTTAGAGGGACTGTGGTTGAAACGATGTTGTGAACGACGTATTTTCAAGTTCATCTTTACGTCACAGACGCTTTTTGTGGTTGTATGACGATATATTTAATGATAGAGGGACTGTGATAATAGGTTACCCGCCAATGACCACTATCGCTTGTTGCTGGGAAATAATTCAATACCTGTCTGTTACTGCTCCTTGGTGTTACTAATATCAGCTTCATGTCTGTATTTTAATATTCTAAATTGACTAACTAATTTTGTAGTTGCTTGGTATGTTTTTCAACGAGCCTACAAGTCGCCGACGTACCCCCGGTAATCGAAGGGAATGTCAAGTACACTAGAAACCGGCCTGCTTATAATTTATTACTCCAGACTGTGATTTATTTATTTCAAATAACATTGTACTATTTCATTTTCAAGAGAAAATTTTGATTTTCAAATTGACATCGTTTTCACCCTTTTGTTATTTCGACGTCAGGGAAACAATATGTCGCTAATAGTAGTAGTGTTATTAATATTATGAGTACTAATTCTCTCTTTGAAAAGCCTTATGTAACGTTTTCATTCTCGTTAATAAAGTAGCATAAAATATCATCGTAAATTGTTTTCAAATGTCACAAACTTTGTGACACAAACTTTGCGTAGGAAATCGGCAGCGATGTAGCCATAGGTGGCGCTATTCCAAAAAATATAAACATTTCTTTATGTTGCATCCGACAATGCGTCAGTATTCGATACTGTTAGCCCTATATTGTGGATATATACACAACCTTACTGATATTTTTTACTTTAGAAATTTAACATGGAGATTTTTCCTTAGCAATGTTAATTTTAGTAATTAAGTGACATTACCATAGCAATGTTGCCTTATTGATTTCACCTTAGCAATGTTATGATGGTGATGTTGCATTAGTGATATTAATATACCGGTTGTAATGTTATAAGTAGTTTGAAATGAACATTCATAAACTGTACTTGGTAGTACATGCATTTGAAATAAATATTGATGTACATAAAAAAATACTGTCTCTGACCACAATAGGTGCTCGTAATATTGCTAGGTTTTGTTTATAACTAAAAATATAATACTTTAGAACTGCTTGAATTCTCTTGTATTGAAAGGTTGCTCCCATGAACATATAACATGCATGTAGTGGGTCACCTGTTGTATTCAATTCGAGTCTCAAGTTTTGCGACTCAGGTTTTGCATGTTCATCATGAGAGAACAACTTGGTCTGAAACTCTCAAAATAACTAGTAAACATGGACAGCTTGCAACAAAGAAAGATTCAATTTATGAGTAAACCCAAACAGTTTGAAACAAAAAAACTTAATGATTCTGGAGAAAAGTGTCAGTTACCGGGTAAAAAAAATAGATGCTTACGCTATAAGTAGTGTAATACTGTAAAATGACTACTTTTCATTGGGTTTAAATTTCAATGATTTAGCATTTCAGGCATATTCAGTAGGTTTTAACTTCACGGTTGTTATCATTTTGATAATGTGTTCTATGCTAAATTTTACATGTTCACTGGGTTTTATTTTAGCGCATTTTTCAGTCAGTGAAATAAACAAAATTAAATCTAAGTGAATAATTAATCATTTTACAGTAGTATACTTTTTTGCTTGTATCTATTGTCCTTCAATAGCGGACAGTTTTCATTCAGCATTTATTAGGAAAGTTCTCTTTCTTTGTTTTAAACAGTACTGGTTTACTAGTTTACTAGGAAAGAGATGTTTTTTTAGAACGATCTTGTTGTCACATGATCTGAGCGTACAACCTTTCCTTCACAAATTAAAAATGTGACATTTTTTTGAGCAGCTAAAACCCTGTATTCAATCCAACAAATCAACACAGATTACAATTTTATTTACAATAATAATATATTTCTATGATCTTGTCAATGTTTTCTGTAACTACTTTACTGGTGTCATCTGGTGGTGCTTTGGATGAATATGATAAATAATGTCTTCCTGTATTATTCTGAGGTTTAGATGTTTCACTTGTTTTCACTTTAAATGTATTGGACACAAAGCTGCATCCAGAAATCAAACTCAAACAAACCTTGTTTTGCGATAATAATAATGACAATATCAATGTCACCGACAGTGTTTTTTCTCATTTTCATTTGGTGATGTCAATGCCCAGCGTTCTAAAAAACCTTTTTATTTTCCTCTACTACCTCAAAGTATTATCATTGGAATTACACATAGTCTCAATCTCTTCAATAACAGGTTTCTTTTGACGAGTTCTAGTGAGTTTGAGATTTGTTTCAGTTATTTGTTTTGCTTGTAAAAGTACAGAATCATCATCATCATCATCATCACTGGTGTTACTAGGTGACTTTCCCATTTCCCCCTCCTCATCAGATGAGTCTAACTCACTATCTTCATCTGATCCACTATCTCTCTCAAAGAGAGCAAGGTTCTGTAAAACAGAGAATATAAAGTCAGAACAGAATTCTTTTTGATATGCATACAGGTTCCAGTGACCAGAAATAAATTTTGAAAGTCTCTAAAATTATAATATATTGAATAAACTAAAAGTAATCACTTAACAATTTTTAGAATTTAACTTCCATTCATCAACTTATCACTTACCATTTCAATAATAGGTCCATCAAAATTCTGTATATTTTCAATATCTACATCTTTATGTGGTGTTTCTACAAGTGTTTTTTCCAGTACTTTATTTGCATCCGCCATAGCTGGTAAAAAGTCTTTAACTGATTGTAATACTATACAAAGAAATAAACAACAGATAAGGTAAAGTATTTGGTGTTAACTACACCTGTTTCTGGTCCGCACGCACAATCTATTCCAAAACCAGCGGTTGAAAGTTTGTTTTTATTTATTTAAACAAACAAGGCAAAAAAGAGAGGGAATGTGCCTGTCTTGTTCAAAAATGCACATATCGACCTTCTTAATGTTTCATAAAAAAAAAACCCAAAACATTTTTTTTTAGAAACTTGGGACCACAATTTAGATCTAATTTAGCCTAAAATATATGTGCATTTGTCATAGGTCAAGTTTACAGGATTAAAATGACAATAAAAAAATAGTGTGCAGCTGATTACAAGATGTGAAATAGAACCTTGGGTTTGTATTTAACCCACCATCTTCCTTCAAGATGCATAGGCTCATAGTGGGTTATATGAACAATGCCCTCATAGGTGACACAAACTGAATCTACTGTTTTCAAAGAAAACCCAGATGGCTTACATGTACCTACCTGAGGAAGGTTCAGGCCTGTATGTTTTTTTCTTCTTCAGCAAAAGTTTTGATTCTGTAAAAATTTGCAAGAAATACAGTGAAGGTATATCAGTAAGAAAGTTATTTCTAGTATTATTTTAGATCACAGAAAAGAAGACAGTTTTGTGAAAAAGAATCAGACTGTATCACACAGTACGTGTATTTAGGGTATATTCCTGCAAAAAAAATATAGTCATTTTGTATAATAGAATAATATTTTTCAATCAATATTTTTAGTTCTTTTAATCAAAATTATTTCAGCGAACACTTTTCATAAATTATCATAGAACATGTGCTTTTATTTTGGTTTCTCATCAAAATTGAGTTATTTGGTTGTTTTTTCTAAACTTTGATAAAAAAAAAAGCTCTTTAGGCCAGACTTTTTTTATTCCTTGTTTCTCGAGTTTTTATAAGGCAATTTTTTTGAGAATGGCGAAAAAAAAAAAAAATTAATTCTTTTTTTCCCATCAGATTTGTGTGATTCTCAAAGAATTGTAAGTGAGATCATTGATCGGAGAGAAGAACTGAAATAAAATTTTATTCCATGTATAACATTGTTTCTTATCTGCACGAGACTTCGGTACTTTGATCATGATACTCCCACGAAAATGCAACTTGGGTTTGTTATGTGGCGGGCGAAAAAAAAATGAAGATAAAAATAATTTTTTTAGCAATTTTTTGCACTTACAAGTCAGCGGGTGCAAGAAATTACGCTGAAATAAAATTTTATTTTTATTTCATTTTTGGCTCCTGTTCATTCGGCGGGTTCGCGAAACAAGGGATAATAAAAGTCTGGCCTTACCAGTCATGCATGATGCCAGAAACGTGAATGATTTTTGTCTTGGTCTAAATAATTATGTCATGTCACTTAGGCTATTTAAGGCATTTTTAAGCTGATCTAGAAAAGTCTAGGGAAAGTTTATACATGCAAAGACTGAGCATGTAACCCTGTATGGACCATATTTTCTGTATTAGAAGTGCATCTCCAATAGAAGTGCATGTACACCATTACATTTATTATTTACTGAATCATTTAGATATTACTTTTTTTGATCGTATAGACACACCTTTGACATTTACATAACTGCATGTGCTACTAATAGAGTACCCCTGGTAAATACAGTATCCATTTTTTAAAAATATTTTTGGGCCAGATAACAGTTCACTCGTCTCTCCTGACTTGCAAATGCTAAGTGCTGACATGTAGTGCAATATGATATAGAAACATATTCCTTGTTTGGAACTACATGTAAGTCACACCTTCATATCATAATTGCAATTTAACATGCCATCCTGGTGTCAACCAGACCCAGTCACAAAAAAAAACCCAAAGTTGAATTGGATAGTAAATGAATCTCAGCCAGTGGATTTGGTCTTCCTATTTAATCTGTGACACACTTTTGTTATGGTGTTCAACCAAGTCTGCATTTGAATTGTTCATGAGATAATAATGCGACACTGTGGACAGAAATATGAGAACAATTTTACATAAAACACCTTTTAATATGTGTGAACATGGAAATTATGATACAAACAGTGATCACTATAAAATCAATGGGGCTTAGACATATTACGAAACGACCCAAAAACGAGCCAAACGACCCCAAAACGAGCCAAACAACTCAAAAACGAGCCAAACGACCCAAAAACGACCCAAACCAGCCAAAAACGAGCCAAACGACCAAAAAAACAAGCCAAAACGACCACAACAAATCGTCAAACAAAGACTGTCCAATTACCGCGATATTATTGCGCCAGCCATTTTAAGGAGCACATTGACCGATGGGGGCGCTGTTATCATCTGGATTGCCACTGTCCCGAAAACCAAACATAAATATTACATAAATATCTGAATAAACAATGATTAATAATAAACACATACATAATATTGATGAACAATAATAGTAAATAATGATAAATAAGCAAATAAATAAATATTTACTAGAAATAAATATTATTACAAAAAAACATAATTTATAAATAATAAATAAATAACAACAACAAACATACAAAGTTTGACAACTAAATTGCTAGTCAATAAATTTATTCATTTGTTGGTTTATCTTTAAGATACCACAGTAAGACTAATTGTTGGTCTTAATTTTAATAAGGTATTTTTACTGATTTACATGTTAAACAAATCATCTGTCCTTGTCAGCCTAAATGCGTGTAATATGAATTTCGCATCATGCCCACTCTAAAACCAAGAACCTGTCCCATGATTTTCATTTTAAGTACTGATTCAGATGACATTTTGTGCAGACAGCATGGGACAAATGCAAGTTCTGATAATATTATTGTGCCACTAAATCATACTAAATGTCAAATTTGCATAATAATTTACCATTTTCCCCGCAAATAATTTTATATATTTGAGAACCACTTATTTGATTTGAACTTATACAAACATTTGAGAGAATTTTCTCTCCCCTTACTATTACAAATACCCATAAAAAATAACAGTTATTTCACTTTTAAACTCTCGTGACTCGTTTGTACCTCTGAGTTCATCAAAGTATGTATCCGACGGTTTCAAATAGGAGACAATATTATTTCCAATGTTGATTAAGATGGCATGAATGATCACACCTTTTGTGAACTTTTTGTTGTA